TGAAAAAACAACAGCAAAGGTGGAACCACAACTAGTATGCACCCTGTCCTCCGAAAAACTGAGTGAAAACGCTGACCCTGCTTCAGTTTTAAAACCATCAATAAATATAGTTTCTACACCTACACTCTCGGAGGAGCTATCAACAAATGAGGAGTCTAGTTTAACAAATGTTAGACTAGACTTGGGTGCAGCAACTTCAGATCAGAGTGCCTCAGAAAACGTGAACCTCTCTGCATCACAATTTGAACCCAGCAGGGATCAGGTCAGCAGCGAGACAAAGTCAGCATCTGATCCAGAAAAAAATATGCCTTGTATTACCACATCTGTGAGTAGTTGTAAAAATGTGGTAGCACCTGACTCAGCAGTCACAGTCTCACAAGCTGGGGAAGCAGGTGATGCAGAATCAGCCTCACCCCAAGAGAGCAGCGTCCACCAGGCTGTTCTTGTTGCGCCTGTTCAAGAGTCACCGCTTAATCAAGAAAAGAGTGAAGCTGCTTCTCAGTTGAGGAGTCGTCGATTGCAAAAAATCAAACCCAAACCAAACCTGCCACAAACACCAAGAACTATGCAGTCAAACTCGCAATCCACAAAAGACCCTGTTATACACACGCAGGTTGTGGAAAAACCCTGTAGCCAGACTTGTGTGTCTGAATCAAGTGACTACAGAATGAAAGATGCAGAAGCCCAGCCATCTTGCAGTCCTACCTCTCCAGAAAAATCAAATGAATTTAAAAGTCCTGATGCTTATTCAGTTTGTGAACCATCACTGGAATCTGGCTCTTCTAATAAATGCCGAGAGGAAATATCTTCATCAGAGAGGGAAAAGACAGATGCTGTATGTGGCCCAATGTCAAGCTCAGTGAGCTTGGAACAAAATATCCCACAAAGATTGCGGCGGTTTCCCAAGGTCAAACCGAAACCCAATTTGGGATCATCCTCTAGAATTACACAGACAAAACTACAGCCAGCTGATATCAGTAAATCTGCAGAACATGTTGATACAATCTCAAATATAGCACCAGCACAAGACCCTGGGGACAATAATGATGCACAGAAATCTGTGAAATTGCCAGAGAAAAACCTAACATCAGGACATTGTTCAATAAATGTAGAAGTCTGTTCAGTAACATCTCAACCTGTAGACTCGGAGAAAGCACTGGGCACCTTAGACAGTAAGGATCCCCATCCAAATGATCCCAGCTCTCCTCTTGGATGTTTGGCACAAGTTAATGAACAACAAAGTGAACATGACCATCATTCAAGTAATTCTGAAGTCCCTCTGGTTCCTGTGAACCAAGTGTCTTCTACCCAGGTAAGCTCAATAATGACTCTGTTTTGTCTGGTCTTTAATCCTTTTACAAGCTTTGCAATCAAATCTGTTAATGTTGTGTCAAGACTTGCTAATTAATACAAGTTAATATTATATATCCAATTCTAACAGGGGTAGTTAGAGGTATTCTCCGGTAGTCAGTAGTTTTAAAGTGAAAAAGTCTCTCTTGAGTTTCCTTAAATGTTTCTCTAATTCTCCTAATCCTAGAATACATCAACATTAAGTACAAACGACATCCAAAGTTTTCCAATATTTCAAGAGAGTAAGTCAATCATATATTATGTTCCAGTCATATCACTTAAGTTTTGTGTAAACTTTATATAATGTTCTTCTTGATTTGATTATTTATTTATTGGTTTTTTTCTTTTTTTAAATTTCAGTGCTGCCAGAGAAGGTGCCTTCAGATCCCGACGAACCATTTTTCATCCTCTCTCTCACTGAGATCCCGCTGTCCTCATCAGGGGAGGTGGTGAACAGTGCAACTGAGAACCCCTCTTGTCTTTCTGTAGCAGAGTCATCAATACCTCAACCAAGGTTTGTGTCTGCTTTTAATCAACTAGCTGTGTGAGCAAGCATGTAGTCTGTTTAGTTTGGTGTCTAATTCTGTGCCTTTCTTCATCCTTTAGTGGTGTTTCTGGAGAGAGTGTGGCAGCAGCAGGAGAGGGGTCTCTGTCTAATGTCCCCATGCCCATGTTCAAAGAGATAAAGAGTGTGACAGGCCTCATCAGTGTGGAAGAGACTGTGCTGGACCCATCTACATTGATTGTAAGTAAAGCTGTAAAGAAGAACTGTTGGCGGTCAGAATGTGATTTTTTTTATTTTTTTAAAATCTTTTTCACATGCTGTGTTTTTCCATCCATCAGGATCATAACATTCAGAAAACAGTGGATCCACAGGGTAGAGTGACTGCATTATTCTGTCACTTTCAAGCTACTGATTGTCATGCTGATTCATGCTGTGTAACTTTAATTTTTTGCTTTAATTGAGCAGAACATACTACAGACAATCCACCAAAGTTTCCAGATGCTGTGGACAATAATGAGCCTGAAGCAGCACTTAACAAGCAGAGACAAACAAGTATTGGAAGAAGAGGTATGCAGAGGATAAATACATACTCACCAAATGCACTTTAAAAAATGTGTGAACATTTTTCTCATGTGAACATTAAATGTTGCTTTTTCACCCTGTATGAATCTTTCAACCAGCCAAACTGCAAGTTAAACCTAATGCAGCGAGGAGAAAACAAACCAGCAAGACCAAGTCAATGAAAGCAGCGGAGTCAGCGCCTACCCAAACAAACACCACCCAGGAGCCAAAAGCCAGTGATGCTGTCATGGAAGCACAAAGGGGAAGCTGCAGCCGTGATGAGGAGATTGTGACAGATGGAAAAGGCACTACCAGCAGCTTAGAAGCTCAAACTTCACAGAGGCGTGTGAGGTGGGTGAAGAACGGTTTCATTTTGAAAAAATTCACATTGGCTTCTATCAATTATTGAGAAACGTTTAATTTTTTCTAATATCTAACAGAAAACCCAAAGGCTCTCTTTCCTCGCTTTCTGTAACAAAGAAAACCAGCCCTCCACAAAATCTTCCACCTAGCAAACCAGTTTCCAAGCGATCTAAGCTTAAAACGCCACTGACTGAAGGACAACAGTCTTTGCTAGAGCCTGTAGCCTCCACATCACATGATGTCCCTTCCACACAAAGTTTGACACAGACACTAAAAGAAACCCGTCCAGCATCGATTACACTGCTAACACAAACAGCAGTGAACATCAGAGAGACCTGTGATCAAAGTCCCAGGAGCCCAGATCCTAGCACTTCACAGTGCACAGAGGTAAGAAAGCTACAGGTGGATTGAAGCTGTTTTTCCATTCAGTGTAATTCATACACGCTCACATGGAGATGTGCTCTGTTTTGTTCCTTCTTAGCAGGATGACTGTGTGGACAGCTGTGCTCTTGAAGAGGAGCCCACCAGTGTGTCTCAGTACTTCTTAACCAACATTTTCACAGAAGTGGATGAGGGGTAAAAGCCACCTACGTAGTTGGATTAAGAAGTGGAATTTGTTGGCTTTTCAAATTTTTATTTCTGTAAATAATAATTTATAACTGAAAAGTTGTTGTTGTTGTTGTTTTTGCTTTTAGTTTAAATTCTTTCTTCACCATACTGATGAATGCAGTTTCACATTTGCAAACATTTACTAGAGTATCAGTTTGTTGAAACAACATTTTAAACCTCCGTTAGTTTAAATATTAAAGCACTGTACAAATGGATAACAACATTTGTGACTCATAGTTTGACTGAAGTGGTGGCAGCTTTTGCTGAATTTTTCATAAAAAATACTTCAAACCTCAGATGTCTTACCTATTTTTTTTTCTTCCTTTTGATACAACTGTGAATTTATAAATACTGTACATGGTAGCAACTTCTTTTTTTTAATATATATATATTTTTTGTCCGTTCTTGATTAATTTTCAGATGACTTTGACCTCAGGAAGAAAAACACAGTTCGGTAGATTAAGACCATGTACAGTTGTACATTTCAGTGTAAAGCCTTTTTTAATGTCTCTTCTGTGTACTTTAGAAATGTAACATATGTGGAAAATAATGACAGAAATTCTGTTTAAAAAAAAAAAAAGGAACCCATTCAAAACAGAATAATCAAACTATCAAAGAGTTTCTGCTGTATGTTAATATGTTTATATATAGTGTTGAAATAGTGACTGTACCACACAGTTATGCACCGTTTGACTTCTTGTTTCATAAAAACACATTGTGTTTTCTACCCTAAGGGTTACATTGGCTCACTGAAAGTGAAAGATGTAATTCTGTAAGATCTGAATAAAAAGTATTACACCTAGATTTGTCTTGTCTTAATGTACATGCATGCTAGTTTGCTGTTGAAAATGGGTTTACAGCCTGCTGATGAAACAAAAAAGCAAATGATAACAAAGATGCTTAAGAATGAGTTAGGACCTAACTGTAAGCTAACATGTTGAGCATCACTTCCCTTACAACTGCTGATCCAGGCACCTTGTACTAACTAGATAATGACAAGTTGCTAAACCCAAGTAATCATAATTTGTGGCATTAAAACTGCTCATCATGTATTATATGTTACCCCAACATGTGCTGCTGATTAGTTCTCATTACTCAAGTACCACTTCACCATTACTTACCAGTTCTTTGTAAATTTTAACAAGAGTGAAGCCCTGCACACTACTTCAGGATCACCTCATTGCTATGCAGTAATTCTCCCTAGTTTGCCACAAAGGTAGCCGAAAATGTGTTTAATTGACAAGCCCTGGTTTATTTTGAGTGTTGCCATTAATTTCATGATAATCTATAACAGGTTGGCAAATATGTCATGTAGTTTTGGATACTGGATGCATATTTACAATGTTCCCTTGTTTATTGTTCCCCAACGGTATCATTGTTCTGAACAAAAATAGTTCTCTTATATTTTATGGTTTGCCCGTGTTTGAATTGCTCTATATTTAGGTGTTTGTGGTACTAATGCTGGAGCTGATGGCTAAAAGACTAAAACGTTTGAGACTTTAATCCCTCATGCTGCAACCTCTTGTAGGGAGGCTTAAGACTGTTTTGATCTCTCTGTTGAGCAACTGACTGCTCCGTCTGCAGGTCCACTCTTAACGCTGTTTCACTCAGCTATGAGATTATCAGTTCGCTCAGTGTACTTCCTGAGTCAGCGGTGGTGGAACAGTCCTCTTACGTCCTGCACACAAGGAAGATGAATAATAATACGCAGGTTAGTAAAACCATATTATTTTAATATTGACTGGCTTTTAGATTAATGTAAATAGTGATTTGATACATTACTTTTGATGATATCTAAAAATCTAGGTGTAAAATGTAACCTTAATTGTTAACTTCATAGATCTGTAAATATCTGAACAAGGAATGATGTCCATGCATAACAGACAGCCTATCAAAAAAACCAAAACAATTTTAAATGGTATTTTTAGCACCTTTTTGCAAAAACTCATCAGAATGCCAAAACTATTTAGCTAGCATGGTGTGAAGTGTGACCTCAAAGAAATTGAGGAAACTGGACCAGCTGAGCATAAAAGAAGATGTTGCAGGCCTAAAAACTATCTACAGCAGAAAACAGCATTCATTAAGAAAGGGGGAATAAAATAAAGCAAAGACTTGACACAGGACCTGAGACATGCAGGTGGCCCCTCAGATGATCCATTTACTGCTCACTGAAACTTAATCAGAAATAAAGAGTAAGAATCACCAATTCTTAAGGAAGAGAATACAGGAAGAAAAGCCGTAGCTATGCCAAACAATGCAAAAACTGGCCTGTGACATTGACATTTTTATTGACATTTTTAGTTAGTTTAGTTTACAAAAACAAATAATGATATGCTGTCAGTCATGGATTGGCCTCCTCTGAACCCAGACTTCAAGATCCTTGAAGCAGTGTGGGATCATCTTGATACAGAACAAAAAGCAGCCCACATCCAAAGAAAAGCTTTGATTGTTCTTCAAGAAGCCCGGAGAGCTATTCCTGAAGACAAAGACGTTACAAGAACGCTTGTCTAAGAGAACCGAGGCTGTGATCAAGGATAAAAGTGGTCATACCGAATACTGGCTTTCAAGCTCAATAAAATAACACAAACTATGATTTTGCCTTTATAATGTATTTCAATTAATGTTTGCAAGTTTCAATTAATTGCTTAACCTATTTCCCATTTTCCATGCACACATTTGCCACTGTACTATATGTGAAAGAAAAATTCATTTACTAAAACATATTTCTAGATCTGGGAGAAAAACAACTGTAAAACTAGAGTTTGTTTAATTATTTGAGCTCTGTTCATAGTGAATTACACATACCAACAAGGCTTAGACTCAGAAAACATGACTGAATTATGCAACAGTCCTCTGATCATTAAAGCTGTACTTCACCTCAAATGATGACTTGTTAATCACTTCAGAGGAGTGTGAATAAGAGTTCTTTGTCAAACAGGTCTGATAGTTAACAGCAGTAAGTACATAATGATTGGAAATTTACTGTTGATAGTCATGCTTCCTGATGTGTGTCTACTCACGTGCACTTTAGATCTTTATATTGTAATGCCCACATTGTGGAGTAATAAACCAGTACTGTCAAACAGAGAAAAGCTCATTAGGAAATGTGCTTCTAAGTGGATGGGTCATAAAGAATTCCTTGAAGGAATTCAATCTGCTGCACATGGACTTTGTGCTTGAAACACACTACTATATTTATACTTCTCAAAAACATCCTTGTTAACACAAACCTTTGACAAGAACCTTGGCACTGCTTATATATCCAAGGATTAAAGTGATGCACCAACATCTTCTGAGCTCTTATGTAACAGCTGGTAATTAAAGTCAATAGCACAAAATCTTCGACAATGTACATAAGATCATAGTTCTAAAATGATGTAAGATGTAGCCCTTTGAATTCTGGTATCATTGTCTTTTCTTTTACACAAATCTGTGGCAGGATACTGCAGTGCTTCAGCACATTGAGAGGGAGGTACGCATGCGTGAGGGAGCTTGCAAGCTACTGGCAGCATGTTCCCAAAGAGAGCAGGCCCTGGAGGCCTCCAAGAGCCTCCTAACCTGCAATACCCGCATTCTGGCCTTGCTCAGCCAACTACAGAGGATGAGGAAAGTACAAATCCTACAAAGTGTGGGATGCAGGTCAGATAATTGAACTATATACTGAGGATGATGTAAATATACACTTGTATCATAGAATAGAAACAAATCATGTTTCTCTAGCTAGCAATTAGAGTTCAGCTAAGCTGACTGTTTAAATGGACCCCAACCCCAAACCTAACCTTATTCTGTGTGGTTGATTGACATACTACGTGATTTACTGCAGGCCATCTGACGATCTGGTGCCATGTACAGGAAAAGTAGCACTTTCAGGTGTGTTTTAAAAGATTTCTAAAAGTACTTCAACTAGCCTTTTACATTTCTAACACCATGATGTGCACTCTCTAGACCTGCGAATCCCCCTCATGTGGAAAGACTCAGAGTACTTCAAAAACAAAGGAGGTAAGTCAAAATGAAAAAGAGCATGTGATAGCATCTGGTGCATTTTTTGGTTTACACTATGTGCACTAAATCCCTATGTACTGGCTAAACACACAAAATATTCTTCATTCCCAATATATAACAAGTGTTTACCTAAAGTTCTTACTTTCAGAACTACATCGCTGTGCCGTATTCTGCCTGATCCAGTGTGGCACAGAGATCCATGACACTGACCTGGTGATGGTAGACAGGACATTAACTGACATCTGTTTTGAAGACACTATAATATTGTGAGTCAAGTGTTTTTTATTTCAGTTTGAAAGCTAAGTTTCTGCTTTCTCATCCTTTTTAAAAACACATTCGCAAGCTTTTGTTGACAAAAAAAGTAAATGCATTTTCTCTGTGTGAGCAGCAACGAGGTAAGTCCAGGGTTTCAGCTTCGCATTGAGCTGTACAGCAGTTGCGTGGTCGATGAATTCTCCCCTGGGGCCATAGGATCCTGGAGAGTGAGCCGTCTGGGGGGCTCTTTGGGATGCTCCTCTGGGAAAAAGATCCGTGCTGCATTCGAGTCTGCAGCTGTTTGCGGATCCATTTCCAGTGGAGATGTAAGATCCGGAAGCGTGCCACCAACATTATCACCTGACCTGTTGGCACTGTGAGTATGACACTATTAGGAAACATTTTATGGTGTCGCTTGGAAAAAAAAAAGCAACAACAAAAAAAAAAAGAATGATTGTGCAAAGTTCTTTCTTTCTCAAGGGGACCTAAGTACAACCTTTTGGCTCACACAACCCTGAGAATTGAGCATGTCCGGGAAGGTTTCAAAACGCACGATTTATCACTTTCAGCGACAGGTGAGTCTCCTGTCCTGTCATTTCCTCTCCTCTCTCCTCCTTAAAATCTAAATATACATAAATAATGAATCTTTTTAAAATTCCTAATCCTTTTAAATGTTTTGCCAGAGGATAATCCATTCTGGTTGCCTTTGTACGGAAGTATGTGTTGTTGCTTAGTTGCTCAGCCTCTGTGCATGATTCAGCCAGTGATAAGTGGCCAAATCAAAATCAAGGTGACAGAATTTTTTTTTTTTAATTGTTCAATATTGTTATTCATTTATCATTATTATTCACATTATGACTTTTCTCACTGCTCTTGCTCAGCTCAGCTCAGAAGAGGACTGTACTTATTCTGAAACTGTCTATGGTGTCCTCAAGAGGCAAGCCCTTCTCTGTTATCAAAGTCAAGAAGGCCTGGAGTCTGACGACAATCCCTTGCTTGAGATTCCAATAACAAAGGTTGGTTCTAAACAAGCAAAGTCTGATGAATAAAGGCAGTGATTCATTTAGCATTTTGCCAGTGTTGATTATAATTACACACCAAGGCCACTAGAGTGCACTGACGAATTATTTAGTGGAGAGGAAAAGTGTTGTAAGGGTGAGGAGACTGAAATATTTTGCACAGTTCAAAACAGCTTTTTAAAAATTATATAGATAGCTCTAATTAAAATCAGTCATGTATGTTCAAAGCTAGAGATAAAAAAAAAGATAGCATCTCCTTGAATCCCCTCTTATTTCTACCCTTTTAAAACCAAAAATAATTTTCTGGTTTGGCAGGGAACAACACTGAGATTACGAGCTCTTTTTAAAAAGATGTTGGATGTTTAAAAAGATGAAAATCTGAACTGCAAACACTTGAGTATAGATTTTCTCTTTACGTGTGAGATTTTCAGGGAGCCTTGTTTTTGAGAAGCTCAATTTTAACATGTGATACAATTAAATGGTGACTTCGTGTTGTGGGTATGCTCAGAGCAGCATACCCACAACATGAAGCTTGGCAGCTTTTGCAGGTGAGCATCATGGAAACATACCATGGACTTTCTCTCTATTAGCTAACAATGACCATTCAGCTTTTTTAATGCAGTATGGAATGCAGTGATGAGCAGTTTATTGCCTGTGATGAAGCCATTTAGGTAATACAAAAGGTATTTCAGTAGATCAGCTGTAGCGTTGAGGCTACCTGCAGTGTCTCAGCTTATTCTTTGTTTTTCCTCCCAGGATACCGTTGTCTGTATGTCTGACAGAGATCCTGCCAATTGCCAGAAAATATACATCAATACACAACGTCAAGGGGAGGACATAACTTATGTGCTTACCACATGCACACTTGAAGATACACAGCACTGGAGGAAGGCCCTCTGTCAGCACATCTATAGCATGAGTGAGGCCTGAATGAACTCTTTGTTTCTTTTGCTTGTTTTTTTGTTTTTTTAAGTTCTTTGGGCTTTACAAGCACGGACAGTCAAATCCCTGGCATGACCTACTAGCAGAACTTCTTACACAATCTTTACACAGAATGACGCTGGATTTGCAAGGGAGACGTTACAGGGATGTTTGGTCTGTCCTGTTTTTACTTCAACGAAATTATGAGTACGTTTATACAAGAACAGGGTGTGCACCAAACTAAACCAACAAGTGTGAACATTCTTTGAACAAAGAAAGTTCACACTTCTGCCAAGCTTGTATAATCCCCCAAAATACGATATCAAACTTGCAGGATGATTGTAATGAAATTTTTTGGAGGTGTGCATGCACCAAAAAGCACATGTGCAGCACAGTTCACAAGCCCATAGACATCTGAAACTGATCACACGATTTGTTGTTCTGTTGCAACTTTGGATTTTTTATGATGCTTTTTCGAAACATAAGGAGTTTAAAAACAAAAAAGACAGCATTTATATCTTCATTAAACAAAGAAGGTGCAACCGGTAGGTGAAATAACCTCATATCACAATCAGTTTATTAGTATTTACGTGTATCTCGGCTGTAAGAACTTCTGGTTTCAATTGGATGTACGGAAAAAGTGACGACATGATTTCATTAACTTTTATCGTCTTTGGGCGGAGCCACGGTAGTTGTTTTCCCCACTTTTTTTTTTTCAGTCTGCATACATAAGATAGTTGATAGTTGCTTGCAGTATCGTGTTGAGGCCTGATTACTGAGAATGTTGTAGGTTTTCATGCCTAGTGCTAAGTTATAGCAGGGCTTTGCCAAAACGTAAAAGTATTATTCTAAGATGCACAATCTTGTTTTTGATAAGGTTCCAGGAGCACAAAAAGAAAATCAAATCAGAAAGTAGCAGCGTGGAAATCAAGTAACTCATAATTAGCTTCATTCTAACTTCATTCTTATTTTTGGGCGATGCTTTTTAGCTTTTATTTTGATAGGACAACGGTGAGAAGGCAGGAAAGCTGGGAGAAAGACTAAATGGCTGCTTCAAGGCAAAGCCAGGCCTCTGCATTTAAGCTGGTGGTTAACTAACACATTACAAGGTTTGCTGTATCAGTGGGTGCAGATTCATACAGTAAATATGCAACACATACAGTATGCCACCTCCTCATATTTCTTTGCATGACTGACAAAGAAAATACAGATTAACATAGTTGCAGTCACACCTGTGTTTTAATACAATAGAGCTAGACAAACAAAGTGAAATTGAATCAAACTCAGTCTCCATTCTTATGAATGGGTGGAGGCTACATATCAGGTTTACAGTCAGGTCAATAAATATTGGGACATCGACACAATTCTAACATTTTGGGCTCTATACACCACCACAATGAATTTCAAATGAAACGAACAAGATGTGCTTTAACTGCGGATTGTCAGCTTTTATTTGAGGGTATTTACATCCAAATAAGGTGTAGGAATTACAACAGTTTGCATATGTGCCTCCCACTTGTTAAGGGACCAACAGTAATGGGACAATTGGCTTCTCAGCTGTTCCTTGGCCAGGTGTGTGTTATTCCCTCATTATCCCAATTACAATGAGCAGATAAAAGGTCCAGAGTTCATTTCAAGTGAGCTATTTGCTTTTGGAATCTGTTGCTGTCAACTGTCAAGATGAGATCCAAAGAGCTGTCACTATTAGTGAAGCAAGCCATGATTATGCTGAAAAAACAAAACAAACCCATCAGAAAGATAGCATAAACATTAGGAATGGCCAAAACAACTGTTTGGAACATTCTCAAAAAGAAGGAACGCACTGGTGAGCTCAGCAACACCAAAAGACCAGGAAACAACTGCAGTGGATGACCGAAGAATCCTTTCCCTGGTGAAGAAAACACCCTTCACAACAGTTGGCCAGGTCAAGAGCATTCTCCAGGAGGTAGGTGCATGTGTGTCAAAGTCAACGTCAACAATCAAGAGAAGACTCCACCATTGTGAATACGGAGGGTTCACCACACGATGTAAACCTTTGGTGAGCCCCAAAAACAGGAAGGCTAGATTAGAGTTTACCAAACGACATCTAAAAAAGTCTTCGCAGTTCTGGAACAACATCCTATGGACAGACGAGACCAAGATCAACTTGTACCAGAGTGATGGGAAGACAAGAGTATGGAGAACGAAAGGAACTGCTCACGATCCTAAGCATACCACCTCATCAGTGAAGCATGGTGGTGTAAGTGTCATGGCATGGGCGTGTATGGCTGCCAGTAGAACTGGTTCTTTTGTATTTATAGATGATGTGACTGTTGACAAAAGCAGCACGATGAATTCTGAAGTGTTTCAGGCAATAAAATCTGCTGATATTCAGCCAAATGCTTCAGAATTCATTGTACGGCGCTTCACAGTGCAGATGGACAATGACTTAAAGCATACTGCAAAAGCAACCAACGTTTTTGAAGAAAAAGAAGTGGACTGTTTTGTAATGGCCAAGTCAATTGCCTGACCTGAATCCGATTGAGCATCCATTTCACTTGCTGAAGACAAAACTGAAGGGAAAATGCCTCAAGAACAAGCAGGAACAGAAGACGGTTGCAGTAGAGGCCTGGCAGAGATCACCAGGGATGAAACGCAGTGTCTGGTGATGCCTATGTGTTCCAGACTTCAGGCTTTAATTGACTGCAAAGGATTTGCAACCAAGTATTAAAAAGTGAAAGTTTGATTTATGGTTCATATTTTGTCCTATTACTTTTGGTCCCTTAACAAGTGGGAGGCACATATGCAAACTGTTGTAATTCCTACACCTTATTTGGATGTAAATACCCTCAAATAAAAGCTGACAGTCAGCAGTTAAAGCACATCTTGTTCGTTTCATTTGAAATCCATTGTGGTGGTGTATAGAGCCCAAAATGTTAGAATTGTGTCGATGTCCCAATATTTATTGACCCGACTGTACATAGCATTATTCTATATAACATGCTGATACCTGCTACCTACCTGCATTTATTAATGCTGTTCATAGAATCAGATATATTTGCGTGACATTTTTTGTACTTTGTGTTATGGAGAAAAAATCTCTCTTATGTTGAACTGAAATCTGATAAGGTGTTTCAGTTTGTTTCTTATCTGGAAAAAAAGGGAAAAAATGCAATAACATATTTATCTATACATGGGGACGAGTGTAAGGGTTATCTACTGCATCAACATATCGTTCCACCTGTATCCACAATGCTGCAAGTGACATTATAGAAAGTCAAGAGACCAGCTGACGTGTATTTGTAATATTGTACATCGTGAGATGTTTAACGCTTTACGCTGGTATTTCCCAAACGGGTGCCCACGGTGAATCGGGATAGATTTTACACCAAATGCCCTTCTTGACATAACCCTCTGATTTATCTTGTCTCTCTTCCTGGTGTCAAACTGAAAGGGTTTTGTTCACGTGCAAAGTGAGTGCGCTAGCTGAGTTTATAGACGCCGTTTGGTATGTGACTCTTCACACATCAGTAGACAGAGGAAGCATTAAACAGTTCACATACTTTGTTGTATTATTTCATTTTAGACTGCCATCAGTGTACACTCAATAACCTATATTTAAACTTAAAAGACAACTAAATTCTTCTGCATATATAATTAGAAGCCAAAACAGAGATGCAACATTGAACTCCACACGCGATCAGGTGATTTTCCATGAGATGTGTCTAGGGCTTAATTGGATTAAATGACGAGGCCTGGAGTCACCCGGGTTCTTTCTAGAGGTGTCCATGTGGCCTTGTTCACAGATTAACCAAGCAGGGAGGGTCATCAGCACATTTATTTGACTAATCCCACATACACAGGGAGAGTCCTGTCTGTCTTTCTTTGGAAAGGTCATGCATGTAGAAATCATGATCATTAAAAAAGGTGTGTTTCTAAATAAAAATACATTCTGCATACCTCAGGGCTATTACTGTTAATCTTCATTGTAATCTTCTTTTAATAAGGCAACTGCAGAACATGTTGCTGCAATGATATTGTGAGTAGGAGAATGTGACATTACGTCACTTGTTGATGTGAACAAGGGAGTTCTTGTTTGTCAGTGATCTGTCAGTGTGGATTTATTTATAAATTTTATCGGGTTTTGAAAGAAAGTATTCAGAGAACCATCATGTGGGCTGCAACGTGCAAAAAAAGATGCAACGACAGAGCACCTTGTACATCTAATATGTAATTGTGATTAAATTACATATTAGATCTCTTATGTTATGTTAAACACCAACACCGTCATGAAAACACCGTCTTTGTCTAGATAAGCTTGATTGTTGATGCCTTGCAGTTTTAAGAGTTTTTGTTTTTTTAGTGGCTTCAGTCTGCGCTGCCTCTTGTCCAGCAGGTAAATCAAGACTGTGTCATCAGATGAGAATGTCTTTCATTGCTCAAGAATACTGAAATTACTGTACAATGTAAATCTGGTTTAATATTGGTCAATACTGAAATATTGCTTTTTAGCCAATGCAAACAATTATACTACTGATATGCTTTTAAACACCCATTCAGGGCAATAACAAACATGCTTGCCAGCTAATTTCAAAATAATTTGACAAGATAATTGCTGATGTCAATTTTGGATTGAATTCTTTTCTATTCATCTGCTACATAATTGTATAATATTTGTATTATTATTTTTGCAGGCCATTGGAAACAGTGCTGTGACAACCTCATGAAGATACAAATGCCGAGCTCCAGGAAATCAGTAATGACGAAGCAGGGATCTCTATACCATGAAATAGGTAGAGTAACATGCGCAATGACTGAGTGATGCCAGCTTATGCCGCAGCCCCAGAGATGGTGTTCAACTAAAATCTTAAACTATCTTACCAGTCATTTGGTTTGCCTGACTTGGCCAAGGACAGTCTCATTCTCAAGTGTTTCACTTCCTGGTTAAACAACAACAACAAAAAAGTAACTGATTTTAATTTCTACATCTGACAG